GGGGGACAAGCAGTGGTGGGGTGCGTTTTTTTTTAAAAATGGAAGAAGACATATCGTGGGGAAGAAGAAGGAGGGGTTATATTTTATTATAGGGAGACACAGTATAATACTGCGTTTCCTATAACAAAATTAATTTTTAATAAAACACTGTATTATTCTGCGTTTAATTTTAACGGCTAACTTTCCGTTAAAGTATTATGTAGAAATATAACTTTTTTTAACTGTATAAACGTAGTTTAAGTACAAAAAAACGTCATTTCAGTTTCGAACTCTGTAAATGTTGTTATATTTTAATTTCACCCCTATTATATCCGTCAAACTCCCAGTCAACACACATTTTTGTCGAGACCTTCTAAGGTACGAAACAGACCTTTTGCTATGAAGTATCCTCGCCTATTTTATCTATAGGCATTTCTATCGTTCTACTTCAACATTTTTTTCTTTTTTCTTTGAACTCATAAAAGTACATGTACTTAATAGAGAACCCACCAATGTTTTATCAAATTAAAGAGCTCTGTAATACAATGGTCATATGTGAACAGGGAAAGATTCTTGTAATACCCCTATCATATTACTGACTACACACAAGATTAAAAGATGTAGGAGCCACATAATTAGTTTCTCTATTATTTGGAAAGTCCTTAATTAAAAGGGCTTTTAGTAAGAGATTTATGTTATCATTAGAACCTTTTTAAACGTCATACAAGACATGGACCTCTCCTAAACTACAAATCTAATAAGTATACAGTTGTATTTTCCTTTCATTAAAACATAGTAATAAATTATATTTATAGTATATAAAACCCACTAGACACAAAATAATTATCTTTTGGTGAAGAGTAGATGGCATCACTAGAAAATGAAAATGACCTGAATAATTGGGGCCAAAAAAGCTTGTACTTCCTCCGGTTCAATCAATTTGCTTTTGGCATACCCATTAAGAAAATATAAAATTCTATATAAAAATATCTAGTATGACTAAACTACTCTTAATTAAATATTTAATGTGAGGAGTTTGAAATCTTTTTAAGGGATATGTACATAAGGGTAATTTTATAAAAACAAATTGAATTTTTTCTTGATTATATAAATGAACACTTATTTTAAACAAAAATCTATATCTTTTTAATTTCAAAATGGGCTCTCCTGTAGAAAGTGGACAAAATAGACAACTGTTTGCCAAAGTACTATTAGGCTGTTAAAACTCACCAAATGCAAATGGTCCCATCAATGAGTGAAGCTTTTGTGACTGTAGAGAGACCATGCTAATCCAATTCTTGACAACTCTATCCTCTTCATATTTTCACAATAGAATCATATTCCTTTTTTTATCCGAATTATTTAAATATTTTATTTTTTGTTCATATTCAAATTTTAAAAGTGATCNTATCTTGGTAAATGATAGATTTCTCAAAGAGCAATTGGTTTGATAATGTTACGTTGAAAATGTACTCGTCGAAATATGTGGTTGGTAGTGTATATCTCATATTTAAGAAAAAATCCGATAAATAACCGAAAAAAACGATAAAAACAGAATCGATAAAAAATGACTTAATTGATTTGGTTTGGTTCCAATATTTAAAAAATCGACTTACTTGGTTTGGTGTCTTTTTTGGAAAAAATCGATCAAAACCGAACAACATTCATACCTTTTGCTATGAACTATCCTCGCCTATTTTATCTATAGGCATTTCTATCGTTCTACTTCAACATTTTTTTTTTCTTTGAACTCATAAAAGTACAAGTACTTAATAGAGAACCCACCAATGTTTCATCAAATTAAAGAGCTCTATAATACCATGGTTATATATTACTAGCTATCATATTACTGACTACATACAAGATTAGAAGATGTAGGAGCCACCAAATAATTAGTCTCTATTATTTAGAAAGTCCTTAAAAGTGCTTTTAGTAAGAGATTTCTGTTATGATGAGAGCCTTTTTAAACTTCATACATGACATTCATGGAGCAAGAATTTGGAGTTACTCGGTTCGAAATTTTAATTCTTCTAAGGTATTGGGGTCTAAATTAAGAATTTGTATAATATTCAATAAATTTTTTAAAACAAATATAAAGTTTGGATCAAAGTTACTGGGTTCGACCGAACACGTAACACGTACTGTGGCTCCGCCCCAGCATGGACCTCTCCTAAACTACTAATCTAAGTATGCAATTGTATTTTTCTTTCATTATAACATAATGAATTGTATAGTACTTATACAAAACCAACTAGACACCGTCCATGCAAAAATAATTTTCTTTTGGCGAAGAGTAGATGTCCTCACTGGAAAAATGAAAATGACCTAAATAATTGGGGGCCAAAAAAGTATCTTTTTAATTTCAAAATGGGACTCTCAGTAGTAAGTGGACAAAATAGACAACTGTTTGCCAAAATACTATATTAGGCTGTTAAAACTCACCAAATGCAAATGGTCCCATTCAATGAATGAAGCTTTTTGTGACTGTAGAGAGACCATGCTAATCCAGTTTTTGACAACTCCATCCTCTTCATATTTTCACAATATAATCATATTCTTTTCTCATCCGAATTATTTAAATATTTAATTTTTTGTTAATATTCAAATTTTAAAGGTGCTTNTTTTTTTATCCGAATTATTTAAATATTTTATTTTTTGTTCATATTCAAATTTTAAAAGTGATCTTTCCATCATAATTAGGATTAGTGAATTGAAAATTTTGAAGATTAGTTAAAAGTAAATTCCACCAAGTGCTGACAGGTCATCCATCATGTGAACATCAGTCCACCCTGTTTCTTACTTTTCAAAAGAGCTGGCTTTGTGGGGGTGGGGTTTTGGGGGGGGGGGGAGAGTGTATGTGAGTGTGGTTCTCTACTTACTTCTGTATGCTTTGAGAGTCTTTCTTGGGCTATTGCCAACCATATCATTCTTTTTCCTTTCTTGTCTTCCCTTTTTCTTTTCTTTCTTTCTTTAATCTACTGAATATTTTCTATCAGTTTAAGAGGGATCATTTCTTTGAATTCTTCATCATCATCAGCCTCTGTACATGGCTACTGAAACTGTTTCATCAGATCATCTTATACCTGGCTCTGAGGTAAGCTTCTGTGATTTTCTTCTTCAGTTGCTCATGAATTTTACCACATATATTTGTTTTTTTTGTATCTTGTTTTGTTACTTTTGAATAAATACATATGTTGACAGCTTTATGCAAGTACTTCTTTTTGGTTGTTTGGCTATAGACTCTGTTTGGTAGCAACAAAAAAAGAACTTTTAGCCTGTAATTCTGTCCTATTGTTATGTGTTGAGTTTTATTAGCACAGAACAAAGTTAGATTGTTATGAAAGAAAACTATAGAAAAGAAAATAGAAGAATGAGATCTTTTGAGCATAAAGATTCTACTGAATTATAAGTTTGATTTTTTCATAAAGGATGTTAGGGTGATAAGCCTTATTAGTCACTGATATCTGTGAGAAAGTAAAAGAGAAAGTAACAGTTCAATTGAATTTTTCCCGTCTTCAAACTAGGACTTTTTTGAAGGAAGATGATGAAATTACTCTCTAATTTTTATTCCTCATGATATCATAACAAAAGAATTGATGAAATGTCTGATAAGTGATAGCTCTGCTGAGATGAAAATTTGTTGCTTTGCTTGTGAGAACCAGAACCAGAAGCCTAGAATCTTGCTTTTTGTGTAGGAATTGTGGCCTGTTTCTTTGTATATTTCGTTTTCTTGTTGCTTTCTTATCCTTTTGACCTTGTAAATAACTTGAACATGACAAAAGTTGGTGCTAAATGTTGAGTTCACCAAAGAAAAAGCCTCTGGAAGATGCACCTCTCTCTTTCCTTGGGTGCTTTATGTCAGTGTCAATCGTTGTTGAGGAAATTACCATTTATATTTCCCTAAATTTGTCCTTTTCTTAACTGGTTCACATTTATGTGTTCCATTAAGTTTCTTTATAGAAGTGCATGAGCTACCACACTTGGAAATTGAAAGCTTAATGTCCAAGATTTCATTCCTTTTTTCAGTTCACCATTCTATAAAGTAAAAATTTATATTCCAGCTTTTTCATTTTCCTTTTAGTCCTGTGGATTCAAACATTTTCTCATTTGATTTCTGCTTGCTTACTCTTTTTTTATTCTGTTGTCATTGCTTCTTTATGTTTACTGCAGAAAATTGAGAAGGAAGTGCTTGAAGAGGTTAAGACAATGGAAGTAGAGAGTGTTCCCCCTACTAAAGATAATGGAATAAAACCAATAGAAGAGGATTCCCCTAGTCCAGTGGTTTCTTCTACTGAAACAGTGGAAAAAATAGAGGACACAAAAAGCGAAGCTCCAGTAATTGAAGAGCCAAAGAAGGATGCCGAGGAAGAAAAGCCGAAAGCTGAGGAACCAGGCTCAACAATAGCAGAAGAGGTTGAGAAAGTTGAAAATGAAGAGAAGCCGAATGCGGAGGAACCATCGCAAGTGATAGTCGAAGAAGTAAAGAAAGCTGATGAAGAAGAGAAGCCAATAGCAGACGAAGCTGCTCCAGCGACAGTTGAAGAAGTAAAGATAGCTGATGAGGTAGAGAAGCCAACAATAGAGGCACCAACACCTGCCATCGTCGACGAGGTAAAGAAAGCTGATGAGGAAAATAAGCCAACAACAGAGGAACTACCAGCAACCATCACTGAAGAGTTAAAGAAAAGTGATGAGGAAGAGAAGCCTAAAGCTGATGAACCAATCCCAACTATAGCCAAGGAAGTAAAGAAAGCTGATGAAGAAGAGAAGCCAACAATGGAGGAGCAACCAGCAACCATTATTGAAGAATTAAAGAAAACTGATGGGGAAGATAAGCCTAAAGCTGATGAACCTATTCCGGTAATAGTCGAAGAAGTAAAGAAAGCTGATGAGGAGCCAACAATAGAGGAACCACCACCAACCATCATTGAAGAGGTAAAGAAAAGTGATGAGGAAGAGAAGCCAATAGCTGATGAGCCATTGCCCCCGGCAATTGAAGAGGTAAAGAAAGCTGATGAGGACCAGAAGCCTAATGCTGATGAAATATCGCCACCTCCACCCACAACTGATGAGGAGGAGAAACCAAAAGCTGAGGAACTGCCAAGTATACCTGCTACTTCAGCAGAATCAGAAGAAAAGACCGGAGACAAGGAAATTGAGCCTCCAACTGTTGAAGAAGTTAAGAAACAAGATGAGACACCTGCATTGGATGTTACTAGCAAAGATATTCCAGAATTAACCAAGGAACCTGCTCCTGAACCAGAAGCTCAAAGTATTCCTGAGCAAGTTGTTGATGTTATCAAAGGTGAACTAGAGGTGCAACCAGAGGCTGAAAAGGTTGAAATTTTGGAGAAAGGATCTGAAAATGAGCCTGTCAAGGAAAATCCTGAAGAGCAGCCAACAACAGTTGGCGTTGTGGAAAAATCAGTTGCGGCTGTTGAGGACAAGAAGGAGCAAGCAGATTTAGAGGCCAGTGAACTGCAAAAAGCTGTTGTAACAGTGTCAGAAGTTCCAGTGGCAGAACCTAAGATAGAAGAAATTTCAGTACCAGCTCCTGAAAAGACTGAACAAGAAGTTGCAGAGGCAGTTACAGGAAAAGAAGAAGCGATTCCAGTAGATAAGGTAGAAGAGGCCCCAAAAGGGGAATCTCTTCTTGCAGAGAGCTCGAAAAAAGCAACTTCAACCACTTTAGGATCATTAATGCAGAAGACAGATGAGGACAGTCCTGCTGAAGTTACTGGAGACAATGCTGTTGTTGAGGAGAAAGAAAAGGAATCGGTTCCAAAGGCTACAGTTGCTGAAGCACCAGCAAAAGAAGAGGTTGAAAAAGTCGAAAGAGAAACAAAGGATGTGAAAACTGATGATCAAGATAAGGGGGAAAAAAGTGTTGCTAGTGAGGAATTAGCGGCACCAGAAGCAAAGGTTGTTGAAACATCTGAAGTTACTGAAAAGGCTCCAGAACTGGAGATTACATCCAGAGACATCGAACCGCTTGCTGAAAATGAGAGCACAAAGGACGAGAAAATTGCTACAACTATTGATCAAGATGAGAAGAGAGAGAAAAGTGTTGCGACGGAAGAATTAGCTGCCCCGGAAGCAAAGGTTGTCGAAACATCTGAAGTTGCTGAAAAGGTTCCAGAACTGGAGATTGCTTCCAGAGACATTGAACCAAATGCTGAAAATGGGAGCAAAAACGACGAGAAAATTGCTGCAAGTGAAGCCAATGAAGCTGCAGTAGTTGAGAAGAAAGTGGATGAGGCAACAGCTAATGCTACTGAACCTTCAGCTGAAGAGGCTCAGAAGCCAGAGACAGAGGCAAAAGATGAGAAAATTGCTGAAGCTGAGAAAGAAGTTGAGGAGACAACAAAAACAGAAGAAGTTCCAGTGAAGACAAAGCAATCAAGCAACCTTATGTCTAAGGTGAAGCAGTCTCTTGTGAAGGCTAAGAAAGCAATCATTGGCAAGTCCCCCAACTCCAAATCTGAATCAAAAAATGAAGTCAAAACCAAATAAGATATCAGAAACTCTGAGATAAACATTACAATGATCAGAAGTGAGTAAATTTACTAGTGGTGTGATCTTTATTTTTCCTATTCTTAATCTTTTTCAATTTTTGGTCACCAGGGGTCAGGTATGCTACATTGTCTTGTTTTGTATGATTCTAGTGTTTGTCCATAGATATTGTATAGTTGTGCTTTGCTTTCTACTCTTCCAAACTAGAGATAATGTTCCTTTCTTATGTTTTTCTTTTCTTATTCGACTGTTGAGTCAGGTTGTGAGTTTGTGGAAAAACCTATTCAATTGATTGGATAATGATGTACATCAAGTGTCATATTTCTATATCTAGGCTTGTTCTTCTGAAAACTCGTTTAATAGCTTCAAATGCTTCCTTTCCCTTTACAAGGCTTACAACTACTACTACTACCACCTCAATCCCAAACAAGTTGGGCTGGCGATTGGCGATATGAATCCTCATTTCATTCTTTAAGCTCAACCCATATCACTTTCATTACCAAATAAAATAAAAGTTCCCTTTACAAGGCTATTTTCACTGCATTCATCTAGAGGCATACACAGAGATTTGCACAATCAGTGGCGATCTATTGTTACAATTCGACCTTTAAACTGCTTTACATCCTACTTCAAACTGATGTTCACTTCGCAATATTTTCAAATGGTGTCGACATATTGTATATTTACATGTTAGTTTTAAAGCGGGGTCACTGGTCAGATGATACTACTTAATTCTAATAAGTATCTCTGCTACTGGTCATATCCATTTTTGGAAACAAAAGGATAGGCAAAGAGAATCCACCATACAAAAGTAGAAAAGAGGGATGAGGAGACAACACGTCTTCTCCTTTACAAGGATGCTACGCATAGCACAATTTTTATCACAGAAAATTAATTGAATCAAAAGAGGAAAAAGAACTGGGACATGCAGCTACATGTGCAATAATATCGCCAGTATTGGCAATCAAGCTGGATTGATGACGTGAAAAGGACTGCTCCTGTATACTTCCTTCTCATCTGTGACTCTCACCTTTTAATCTTATAACCAACTTTCAATATTTAATACTACCACCATATTTAATACTTGTAACCGAAAAGTCGCTTCCACTAAACGAAAAGTTCTGTTAGAAGAGATTAATCTTCTTCTTCTTCATAGTCTGCCTTTTTAAAGTTTCGATCCGTTGATTTGGCTAAAGTCGTTGTCCTTTTTCGTTCTGTCTTTATTTTCAATTTTTCCCTTGCTTTGCTCCGTCACTTACAGGTTTGTTTACTGTTAGATTCTTGAAATTTCTTGTTAAAGTTTTGATTTTATTCATTATTGACGGATTTTCAATCAATTTAACTTTATTCCATCTTATTCAACTTGGTTTTTGGTTGATTTGAACTGGGAGATTCAAGAAATTTTCGTTAAGATTCAGTTTTTATTCATATTTGACTGTTTTAAATCAACTTAAGGTTCTATTTCATCTAGTATAATTTCGATTTGTTTAATTTATAGAAGAATACTCATTATTTCTTAATTTATAGTAGTTATCAAGTGTTCTTGCAATATATTTCATTAGATATTTGTGTAGTTCTCTGCTTTTTCCCTACATTTCCCCTACTACTATCAGGGCTACACCAGTGGTAGTGGTGACAACCCTTTTTTGGTTTTCGGGTCGTGGTATTTTCTGTGTTTTCAGGGGAATTCTCGAAGTTGTGGAGAGAAGTTGGGCGCTCGAGCACTAGCAAAGGAGAGTAACCAGGACGAGCGTCCGCAACGGGTGGTGGGAAGCGGTGTGCGAGTGTACAACTACATCAAGTACAATAAATCAACACAGGTTTGGTTCTCGGGAGTTGGTACCTCCCGTTCTACTGTTTCCCTTTTGGTGTTAGCTAAATTGAGATTACTTTGGTTCACAATAGTTCAATCATTCAACTAGTGTACTTGTAGTCACTTGTTTCCTTCTAGTTGGATTCGTTGTTTGTTGTGCACTAGTGAGTCTTCTTGAGATTTGTCGTAGTCTTAGTGGCTGCAATCTGGGATGATAGATTAAGGGCATGCCCTCGGGTGGGACAGAGAGTGGGGCCGAGGTCAGGGTGTGGGACGAGAGGTAGGGGAGGTAGAGGGGGCAAGGGAGCCTATAGGTTGAGAATCGGGTCATGGAACATAG